TCTCTCTCTCTCTCTCTCTCTCTCTCTCTCTCTCTCTCTCTCTCTTTCTCGTGTACACGCGAGCGCGCGAAACTCGATTCATGACAAATCGGATCACACGAAATTCCGACGGCCAACCCCTCGGCTGACGTAATTAGCTGTATCATCGGGAGATTACCGCGCGCTGAAAAGAGGAGAGAAAATAATGAAGAGCCGTCGAGGAAATTGTTGAGTTTCGAAGCGCGAACCGATCGCACAATCGTCGCTGCACCCAAGAAGATCGAAAGTATGTCCCGCCGTGCTTCGCGCGCACATTCAACTTGGTGGCACTCCGCGCGAGGAATCCTTAATATCGCGATCCAATTTGAACTTTTCGGAATAAATCATCGATCTGTCGAATCTGCCGCTGTGAGAACGAGAGCGGAGATCGCTTTACCACTATCCCTCAAAGGAGAGGAAAAGGGAGAGAGAGAGAGAGAGAATGTGTGTGTGTGTGTGTATGTGTTGTATGAGGGAGAAAGGAAGGCGAGGCGAAGTCAACCTTTTTATTCGACTTTTGCCGAGGAGGAGGAGGAGAATAGCGGCTCGCTTCTTTCTTCTATTCTTCTCGAGAAAATCTTATTCCCGGCACATTTGGAAAGCTACTTCTGAGACAACGAAACCGTCGAGCCGGCTCCCGTCGGATCGCGCGATCCTATTTTATATCGTCGAAATGAACGATGCTGCCTTCTCTCAGTATCCTCGTCGGATTTCGTCCCCGAGCGCACTGCCACCCTGTCTCTCAAGATTAAAAGGACGAGCCAGCCGTCGCTGCCTTCGCGTTTATTATCTTTCTATAGTTGCTCTTCCCTCTAACCCACTTTCAACATAATACTCAATTTTAGTACCTTTACACCGGACTTTTACACCGGGCATCGCCGATGTCGCTAGAGAGAGGCCTCCAAATCAAATCAAATTTAGTCGCCGTCCTGTCCATTAAATATCGCGCACGAGAATTGATACAATATACGAGCTGAAAGTATACAGGGATCAACGGATAAAGTACAGAGAGCAGAGAAAAAATGGAGGCACAAAGGCGAGTTACGGATCGATGATAACGCCATTAAGGCCATTTTTTTCCATAATACAATTTCACGACACACAACGAAGGATTCTCCACTGTGTATAAGTTGCTCGTTTTCGCGCTCGCGACATTCGCCTCGCGCGTTAATATTTCGAGAATACGCTCATCGGAGTGATGGCTCATCGGAGATGATGATTTCACTTCTCGTTCCGGTCAAGAGGGACAGCTGGGGGACGTGCATCAAGGCCGGCCACGGGAGTCGCTACATGGAAATTGAATTACGTGCTATGCTGCGAAATGAGCTACCGGGGACCTTGGTTAGTTTCGACGACAAACTGCTCGCTACAGTACGCAGACCTGCCATTACTCATCCCCGCGGATGCTGAAACCTGGGGATGTACCGCCGCAAAACTTGTTCTTCCGCTGACTTTGGCGTGTGTGTCCAAAGCCACGTAGCCGGAAAGTAACCAATGTTCGCTCGACCGCGTTTCCAGCGGAAGCTAAGAAACGACGCACGGCGTGTGTCGGACTATGTTTTAGGAAAAGAAAATTGGAACACTCTTTCTCTCTGTCTCTCTCTCTTTCTCCCTCTTTCGTGATCCACTTCTTAAGAAAATTGGATTCGGTAGAAAGGGGCGGACTCTCCTCAGTAAATTCCGATTTAACGCAGCACGCAGCTCGCAAAGTCGCAGTGCATCGTACGGAGCTCGAAAAAGAATGTAATGATGTGAGCTCTTTTTCAGACAAACAGGGATCGAGCCAACGATCGCCAGTCACCAGAGACCGCTTTTCTTATAAGTATTGTGACAATAGTTTTTGCTGACTAGACTGATTTTGTGTTTCGGGTGTACCGATTAGACGTTTTCTTTTTGATCCTTATAACTCAAGATCTTATATTATCATGTTCACAGTAATTTCTACTGTTTTACTATAATTTCCGTAATAGTGTAAGTCTATTCCCGGGTTATTAAAATTTTATTGTAATTTGTACAACAGTATTCTCTCTGTATACCTCCGTATGCCATATACGTATTGTTAAGTTTCTAAATTGAGATGTGAAAGTACAGCACTGTTCTTTAAAATTTTTCTGAGCGGAGCAAACTCGCGTGTTCAGTACACACAAACAACAGATCTTTTGTGTCAGGCGAATATTTATTTTAACTAACGGCGTCTGACAGGCTACGTTACACTTGAAATGTCAATTTTGAAACTTTTTTATCGCTTTTCTCATATATTGAGCGATGCTTCAATTCATTCTCACACGTATTTTTATTGTGTAAGAACACTTGTATTTAATTCCATGTGATTAATACAACATAAACTTTGCACCAAAAAATCGGTAATCCATCGGTAATGTGATTTAAACTCTCCTTAACGTAACTGAATCTTGGTACAAGCGCTGAAAAAGATTTGGTTGTATTGACGTGAAATTTAACTTTAATAAACCGACCAACGCTTCTTGGTTGAATAACATGAAAGTTCTGCGTTCTTACAATCCAAATTTGATTCTAAGAACCGAAACTCCGTCCCGGAAATGAAAAATTCCGTTTCCTTCAACCAAAACGCGTTGGTTCGTGCATTACAACGAAATTTCGTCTTGATATAAGCCAATGTTTTTCTCCGTGTAAGAATAGAAGCGAAATGAAAAACTCGATTGCAGGAAAGGAAAGATTTTGTAGAGAGTTTTTCTACTTAGTCAATTGTTCTCTGTTATTGCAATGTTTTTATTAAACTGAATGTTCAGCTGTTTTAAAAACGTTTTCTGTGGCAACAGAGACATCGTTTCACGTTGAATCTTCATCTAACCGCTATTCAATTATACGAACAGAAACTTTTTTCCGTGTATAAAGATGATGATTCTCTCACGAGCATCTCGACATAAACTAGCATTATTTAGCAATTCTTAGCGGATACTCATGGACGTAGAAACGATCTCGAAGCGATCTAGATTTAGGCGCGACTGCGAAATTTGTGCTCACATCCATGTTGTTCGTTTAAAACTTTTATGTCGACCGATAAAAGCCGCGAT